TGCTGAATTCTGTATTCCAGTATTTTGTTGAAGATTTTTGTGTTCATATTTGTAAGAGATACTGTTCTGTAGTTTTCTTGTGATATCTTTGGTGTAGGGCAATACTAGCTTAATAAATAGGTTGGGAGATGTCCCTCATTTCAAGTCTTTGGAAGAGTTTGTAAAGAATTATTATTAATTCTTCTTTAAATATTTGATAGAATTCAGCAGTGAAACATATGGCTGTGGGATTTTCATTTGTGGGTTGTTTTATGATTAATTCAGTCTCTTTCTTTTTGTCTATTCAGATAGTTTATTCCTTCTTAATTCAGCTTCAGGAGCTTTTGTCTAAAAATTTGTCCATTTTACCTAAGCAGTGTAATTTATTGGTATACAGCTCTTCACAGTATTCCTTTATAATGCTTTCAATCTTTGTAAGGTCAGTAATAGTGTTCCCTCTTTCATTCCTGAAGTCTAGTCATTTGACTTTTTTTTTCTATGTCGATCTAGCTAAAGATTTGCTCATTTTGTTGACCTCTTCAAAGAACCAGCTTTGGTTTCCTTAATTTTGTTTTTCCACTCTCTAGTTCATTAATTTCTACTCTAATCTTTATTATTTCCTTCCTCCCGCTTATTTTACATTCACTTGGGTCATCTTCTTCCAGTGACTTAAGGTAGAAAGTTAGGTTAGTGATTTGAGATTGTTCTTTCTTAATATAAAGGCTTTTTGTTACAAGTTTCCCTCTAAGCACTGCTTTATCTATATCCCTTAAGTTTTCTTAGGTAATAAGTTCATTTTCATTTACCTCAAAGTATTTTCCAATTTCCTTTTTTATTTCTTCTTTCACCCAATGATTATTTAGGAGTGTGTTGTTTAATTTACACATATTGGTGAGTTCCCAAAATCTGTCTCATTGATTTGTAATTTCTTTCCAATGTGGTCAAAGAACATCCTTTGTATTATTTCAATCCTTCCAAATGTATAAAGGTTTGCTTTACGGCCCAGCATATGATCTATCCTGGAAAATGCCCCACATGGACTTAAAAAGAACTTATATTCTGCTGTTGCTGATGTGTTCTATAGATGTCTGCTTGAGTCTACTGGGTTTATAGTTTTGTTTCTTTGATGATTTTACACCTGTGGTTTCTGTCCACTACTTTAAGTGGATTACTGAAGTCTCCCAAACATTACTGTTGAACTTGTCTAGTTCTCCCTTCATTTATGTTAGTTTTTGCTTTCTGTATTTTGAGGGTATTATTAGATACATATATATTTATAACTGTTTTATCTTTCTAGTGGACTGACCCTTTCATCATAAAATATCCCTTATCTCTAGTAACATTTTTTGTTTTAAAGTCCATTTTTTCTTATATTAATAGAGTTTACTCCAGCTCTCCTGTAGTTGTTTATATCTTTCTCCATCCTGTACTTTCAATGTATTTGCATCTTTAAACCTAAAGTATGTCTCTTATAAACTGCACATAGTTAGACTGAGTCTACCAATCTCTGCCTTTTTAGGCAATGGATTGTTTAATCAATTCATATTTAATGTTATTGATACTGTTGGATTTATGGTTTTCATTTTTTGTTTTCTGTTTCTCATGTCTTTTCTGTTATTACTCTTTTACTGTTTTCTTTTGCATTAAGTATTTTCTAATGAAGCACTTAAATTTCTTTAGTGAGCTTTTCATTGTGTTTTTACCTTTTTTTCCCCTAGTGGTTGCTTAATGGCTTACCTATACCCTAACTCATCAGAATCAGCTTTGGATTATACTAGCTTAATTCCAGTAAGATATAGAAGTGTTATGCTTTACAACTCTATTCTCT